GAAATGCTAGAGATTAAAAATAAAAACAAAAACAAACACTCTGATAGAAGTGAAGCCTGCCTTTGATGGACATACTAGATTGGACATGGCTGAGGAAAAAAATTTCTGTGCTAGAGGGCATATCAATAGAATTCTCAAATGATAATGTGGTGTGATAGAGGTGTTAACTAAGGCTGTGGTGGTGGTAATGCAATATGTAAATGTATCAAGTCAGCATGTTATATACAAACTTACACAATGTTATGTGTCAGTTATACCTTAATTTTAAAAACTAGAATTCTCAGCCAAAAGGAAGGAGAAACAAGGACTGAAAAAAACAACATCCAAGGACTATACAGCTATAAAATGTGTAACACACATAATCGGAGTGCCAAAAGAAGAAAAAAGGAACAGAAGAAATACTTGAAACAATAGTGATTAAGAATTTCCCCCAGTTAATGTCAGACACCAAATCACAGATTCAGGAAGCTCAGAGAACACCAAGCAGAATAAATGCCAAAAAAATACACGTGGGTGTTTATCATTTTCAAACTACAGAAAATCAAAGATAAAACCTGAAAGAAGCTAGAGGAAGAAAACACCTGACCTATAAAGGAACAAAGATAAGAATTACATCCAACTTTTCTTCAGAAACCATACAAGCAAAAAAGAGTGGAGTGAATGATTTTAAGTGTTGAGATTTAAAAAAAAAAATGACCAAGCTAGAATTCTGTACCTTGCAAAATTATCTTTCAAAGGTAAAGCCTTTACCCAGGCTAACAAAGGAAAAAAGAAAAAAGAGAAACTAAGAAAAAAACGACACAAATTACTATAGATAGAAGCAGAGGAAATACTTCCCAACTCATTCTGTGGGGCCAGCATTCCCCTAATACCAAAACCAGACAAATACAAGAAAACAAAACTACAGATCAATATCTCATGAACATAGATGCAACAGTCTTCCACAAAATACTAGCAAAATGAATCCAAACTACAAAACGAATTAGGGGCACCCGGCTGGCGCAGTCAGTAGAGCATGGGATTCTTGATCTAGGGATTGTGAATACGAGCTCCACATTGGGTGTAAAGATTACTTAAAATTTTTTTTTAAATCTTAAAAAAAGAAGGGCACACTAGAACCAAGTAGGATTTGTCCCAGGTACGCAAGCCTGGTTCAACATTTGAAAATCTATCACATCAACAAACTAAAAAAGAAAAGTCACATGATCATGTTGATAGAGGCAGAAAAAGCATGTGACAGAATCCAACACCCATTCATGATAAAAACTCTATCAGTAAACTAGGAATAGAGGGGATCTTTCTCAACTTTATAAGACTACAAAAAATCTTAACAGCTAACCTCATAATGGTGAGAAACTGGGAGCTTTTGTATTAGTATTAGTGCTAAAAAGAAATAGCTGTCAAGCTATGAAAAGACATAAAGGAACCTGAATGCATATTTAGGCAGAGATGGCCCTGCTTACCATTCCTTACCAACATTGTGCTGGAAGTTCTAGCTAATGCTGTTAAGACAAAAGGAGACAAAAGGTATACAGTTTGGGAAGAAAAAAACTGTCTTTGTTCACTGGTAACATGATCATCAATGTAGAAATCTAAAAGAATGGACAAAAAATAGGAACTGATAAGCAATTATAGCAAGGTTATGGGATGCAAGCTTAATACACCAAAGCTAATCACTGTTGTACATACCAGCAATGAACAAGAGAAATTTGAAATAAAAAACAATACAATTTACAATAGCATCCCTTCCCCAAATGAAATACTGAGGTATAAATCTAAGAAGTTATGTACAAAATCTATCTGAGAAAAACTACAAAATTAATGAATAAAATCAAAGAATTTACTTTAAAAAAGGGAGGTTCCACATTCATGGATAGGACGACTCTGTTGTCAAGGTGTCAGTTCTTTTCAACTTAATCTATAGATTCAGTGCATTCCCAATGGAAATCCCAACAACTTATTTTGCGGATATTAAAAAATGATTAAGTTTATATAGAGAGTTGAAAGATCCAGAATAGCCAAGACAGTATTGAAGAACAAAGTAGAAGGGCTCAACCTCCAGTAATCGAGACAGTGTGGTGTTGGTAAAACAGTAGACAAATAGATCAATAGAATAGAATAGAGAACCCATAAATAGACCACGTGTAGTCAACTGATCTTTGACAGAGGAGTGAAGGCAATACAATAGAGGCAAAGAGAGTCTTTATTAAAGAGTGCTGGAACAACTGGATCTACATGTAAAAAAATGAATGTAGACACAGACCTTAAACTCTGCAAAAATTAAAATGTATCACAGACTTAAATATAAATTTTAAAAAACTAGAAAACAACTGGGAGATACCAGGAGAAAACCTAGAGGACTTTGGATGTGGTAATGACTCTTTAGATATAAACCAAAAACACAACCCATGGAAGAATTGGTAAGCTGAACTTCACTGAAGTTAAAAACTTCTCTGCAAAAGACAATGACAAGAGAATAACACAAGCCACAGACTGAGAGCAAATACTTGCAAATGACACATCTTATAAAGGACAGTTATCCAAAATATACAAAGAACTCTTAGAACTCAACAATAAGAAAACAACCTGATTGAAAAATGAGCCATACAAAAAAACCTGCACACACATTAATAGCGGCTTTATTCATAATTGCCAAAGCTTGGAAGCAACCAACATGTCTTTCAGTAAGTGAATGGATAAATAAACTGGCACATCCAGACAACGGAGGAGTATTCGGTGCTAAAAAGAAATGAGCTATCAAGCCATGAAAAGACACGCAGGAACCTATATGACATTCTGGAAAAGGCAAACCTATTGAGAGTAGAAAGATTAATGGTCATCGAGGATTTGGCGGTGGCGGTGGCAGTGGCGGTAGGGGAAGGATGAATAGGATAGAGCACAGAGGATTTTTTAGGGCATAAAAATTCTCTGTGTGATACCATAATGATGGGTACATGTCACTATACATTTGTCTAAACCCACAGAATGTGCAACACCGAGAGTGAATTGTAATGTAAATTAGGGTCTTTGGGTGATTGATGTGTAAATATAGATCCATCAATGACACCACTTTTCAACAAACAACACTGGTGGGGGATGTTGATAATGGAGGAGTCTATGCATGTGTAGGACAGGGACCATATAGGAAATCTATCTGCCTTCCCCTCAATTTTGCTGTGAATTTAAACTGCTCTTTAAAAAGAATTAATTAAAAAAGTAATTATGCCATTATAAATGAGATTGATGCAGTGGTAGATGGGTAGTAGACTAGAAATCAGAAGGGCTTGTGTTCAGGTCCTTTTTTTATTTGTTCAGACACCCTTAGAAAAGTCACTTAATATCAACGAGCCTTATCCAGGAGAGTATTCCCTTATGACGTTATGGGAATCAGATTGCAGACGTGATGGTTTTTTCTGAAAACTAGCAGCATGCAAATATCAAGGGCTTAACTATTATTAAGATAACGACTTAAGGCATAACCATTGATTCTTCTTTTTTTTAAAGATTTTATTTATTCATTTGAGACACAGAGATAGAGCATGAGCAGGGGGAGAGGCAGAGGAGAAGCAGGCTCCCAGCTAGGTCAGGAACCCCATGTGGGGCTCGATCCGAGGACCCTGGGATCATGACCTGAGCTGAAGGCAGACATTTAACCATCTGAGCCACCCAGGCACCCTGTAACCATTGATTCTTAAGAAAACATCTTTTGTTTGCATGCTATGGAATTAGTTATATGAATAAAGAATGTAAACTGCTGTACAAAAGACAAGTACAATAATAGTTACATGCTTAGAAAACTCCAAAAGGGGAATGATAATCTTTTTGTATGAATGGAAATATTTATGAAAAAGTTTTAAGAGAATAGCACTAAGGCAAGTTTGACTTTCCATTTTTCTGCTTGGAAAAGAAAATTGAAAAGACAGTCTCCCTAAAGATCCTAAATTAAAATGCAATATAATATACCAGATTCTAGCTTTTTAAGAGTACAGAGTATGTGTAGTTAATGGTTAGTTTTTTTCTTATACCAAAAATACTGGCAAATATATTTCACATGTTGATTTACACTTGCCACTATTATAGTAGGAGTAGTTTGACCAGTGTTATATTAATATAATTAAACTGATCTGAAGAAAAGATTCCCAAATTCACCATATAATGTGTTGGCCCTTGCCTTCCACAGTGGTTTTCCCTTTTTGAAAAGCAAATAGGGATTAAAATCATTAGAAGGAAAAGCTAAAAAGAAACAGATTTCACAATGAATCATGGAACACTACATCAAAAGCTAATGAAATGATGTAATGTATGGTGATTAACATAACAATAAAAAATAAAAAAACAGATTTCAGCTTTGTGAGCAGTCCATTTCATGCTACTTCTCAAATGATCACTCAGCAATGTTTTAGCCCAATTATGCAATGCCACATTTGGGTTTATCTCCCTTTAATAAAAATCTTTCAGAATAGCCCTACATTTAAAATTTGTTTGATACATTTTCTCATTTATCTTTGTCCAAATTCTCTGGCTCTGAGAAATAGTGGTGTTCATGAACTTGCTGGAGCTAGACAGAGTTTCTTTCCCTCTTTCTTTCTTCCTTTTTGGATATATCAGTGCAATAAAGAACTGGTTCATCAGTTCTGCCAGGATGGTGGGTTTCTAAAGAGAGTGTAGGGAATCTGGCAAATAGAATGAGAATACAGTTAACCTTTATAGGGACTGGAATATTTGTCAACAGAGAATTTAATGTTTTCTGCAAACGGTACATTTTAGAGTACAAACGGACCTGCAGCTGAAAGAAAAATAAACTCTTCCTAATTCTAGTTTGTATCAGACTTATTTCTGAAATAACCTAGAGGGATATAATATGTGTATTTTTAAGATTTAATAGGAAAAAAGCTTAGTTGGTCCGTCTTTATGTTCACTTTCCTAAATTATATGCTTTTGTTTATTCCTGAGCTTTAGCTTCTGACACTATGTTTGACATGTCTGCTTTTCTTTTCTAGAAGCCACCGGTGTCCAACAGAAGGTCAATTTTTCTGAAGGAGGTATTTTCTTTTAAAATATTCTAAATCTTTTTTTCCCCATTAACATGAGGTGCAAGTTTCACAGGTATTTGAGAGCAGAAAATAGTGTATTTTTCTTCACAAAAAAAAAAAAAATCCATGCTTATCTGATGGGCCGGTAAAATAGGATAGCGTGAGCAATGATAGTCTTTATATGCATTTTAAGCATCTTTTGTCTGAGTTAATAATTTTAAGCAAAGTTAATAAAAAAAGGTTCTAGCATATGCTGGCCTATGACTATGGTATTAAAATAATCATTTTTTCAAAATCAGTCTGTGAATAGTACAGTAAAATTTAATCCATTTTAGAACCCGCCATAATCTAAGGTTACCTGCATACCATTTTAGAACCCGCCATAATCTAAGGTTACCTGCATAACAAAATGTTTGTTATGGGTGTATGTGTACATCCCCCTTTCAGAAACACAGATGGACATATGTAAACACATGCGTGTGCATATACTAATCTTGTCTGAATTTGCACACTGACTATATGTAGTTCCTCCCATAAGATAGAATTTTTCCACTATTTAATGCTCATTTGCTTACTCTCTGACTCTACAGTAAAGCTTCAGAATATAATCTTGTAGATACTACTCTGAATATTTGTTTGAGATATAATTATGTACCTCAGAGAACATTAATGTGCTCGATTTTAGCTTATATGAAAATTTGTGATCCAGAATAGTAAGCATAATAAATAGCAATTCTGTATCTGATAATTAGAGAAGCTTCATTTTAATGTTGAATTACTTATTTTTCTAGATCTTTAGAGCATTAGAATAAAGACTATACTAGTATATTATTTACTTCTTTTTAGGAGAAACTGAACAGGATGATCAAGACAGCTCTGACAGTGATATTACTACTGTTAAGGTCAGATCCGGGGATTCTCTTGATTCTGGAGGTAACATTGCTTTATATACATATGACTTTATCTTAGGAGCTGTCTTTTTAGTTAAAATATAAAGGTATTTGTGAATCTGCTTTTTAAAAAAATACTCCAAAGTATTTTATAAAAACTATTTAAAAAGTGTACTTTTTAATATTTATGAAAATTACTGATTTCATGTGTGCATCTAATTAGTAATGTAGTGACATGTAACATCTAAACAAATAAGTCACTTTTTGGCCTACTTTGATATTGATGAAATATAAGATATTTTTTGTGCTCAAAAGAAGTAGTTTTTAAAAAAACATTGTAGAGAGGGACGCCTGGGTGGCTCAGTCAGTTAAGCATCTAACTTAGGCCCTGGTCATGATCCCAGGGCCTAATTGAGCCCCATGTTGGGTTCCCCTCTTAGCAGGGAGTCCATTGTCCCTCTCCCTCTGCCCCTCCCTCCACTTGTGTACTTATGCGTGTGTGTGTGTGTATGTGTGTATGCATGTACTTCCTCTCTCCCTCTCAAATAAAATTGTTAAAAAATTTTAAAAATGTTATAGAGAAACTGATCTCATTGGCAGTGGTACTCATTACACTATCAGGAATGTTAGCTTTTAGGAAGTTTTTTGTTTTTAATTTTATTTTCTTATGTTATGTTAATCACCATACATTCCATCATTAGTTTTTGATGTAGTGTTCCATGATTCATTGTTTGAGTGTAACACCCAGCGCTCCATTCAATACGTGCCCTCTTTAATACCCATCACCAGGCTAACCCATCCACCCACCCCCCTCCCCTCTAGAACCCTCAGTTCGTTTCTCAGAGTCCATAGTCCCTCATGGTTCGTCTCCCCCTCTGATTCCCCCGCTTCATTTTTCCCTTCCTACTATCTTTTTTTAACATATAATGTATTATTTGTTTCAGAGGTACAAGTCTGTGATTCAACAGTTTTACACAATTCACAGCAGTCACCATAGCACATGCCCTCCCCAATGTCTATCACCCAGCCACCGCATCCCTCCCACCCCCCACCACTCCAGCAACCCTCAGTTTGTTTCCTGAGATTAAGAATTCCTCATATCAGTGAGATCATATGATACATGAAGTTTTAATATACCTAGGTAATCGCTTTTATCTCTGGATTGTTCAAATTCACACCAGGTCAATAATAACAGTTTATGATTGTTCACATGAATTTGTGTTTTATTAAAGGAAAGAATTGACTGAAGAGAAAAAAAATACCAATTGAGGCTTAAGAGAGTCCTGAACCAATTTGTAAACTCTGTAAATAATGAATAATTTATATTTTAGTCCTATGAAAGAGTAATTCTCCACTTTCCCCTCACCACCTTTTGAGAATTTCCGTAATTCCAGTTTTACTTCATCATTTCATTTTCAAAATAAGCTCATAAGCTGGTTTATGGGCATTTGGTATTCTCTATATTTCCCACCCTTCCTCATTTTCCCCCATTCTTTCTTGATACAGAAATCCCAGAGGAGATATGCACCATTCTAGCATAGTGGTTAAGAACATGGGCTCTGGAGCCAGAATCCCTGGGTTCCACTCCTCCACTACTAGGTTGGTGCCCTCAGGCCATTGTTTAACTTCTGTGTTCCTCAGTTTCCTCATCTGGGTTGTTAAGAGGTTAAATTAGTTCACATGTGCAAGCACCTAGAAAGTACCTGTCACGTAGTAAACACTTAAATTAAGTGTTCTGATTAGTTTTGGTATATGTATACACAAAGCTCTAAAAATTAAGAGACTGATTAAGCCATTCATATAGCCAGTAATTTGATGCCATTGCCACTAGCATATAGCTCTTCAAAACTACATAAACCGGAGGCTCTGTGATCCCTTTAGAATTCTAATAAATTCTTAATGAAGCACCTACCCACATGCAGAAGAAAACTCTAGCTAAAGAACAAAATACAGATCTTCCTAGATTATTTTCTGGGTTAATTATCACCGAAGAGATACAAGAATAAACAAATGAGAAAGGGGGATAAAAAGAGAGAGAGAGAGGCAAACCAAGAAACAGACTCCTAACTGTAGAGAACAAACTGACCATAGGGGAGGTGAGGGGGGGATGGGCGAAACAGGTGATGGGGATTAAGGAGTGCACTTGCTGTGATGAGCACCAGGGATTGTGTGGAAGTGTTAAATAATTGTACATCTGAAACTAATATTATACCATATGTTAACTAACTAGAATTTAAATAAAAACAAAACAAAGATCCATTGGAGTGCAGGAAGAAAATACTAGAATTTCATGGATATTTATATTTTATTTCATCCATTTAAAATGTCTATTTTTATTTTATAATAAATGCAACACGTTAATTAATATATTATTTCAGTAATACATGTATATGTTTTGGAGATTGATGCTCCAATTTTTTTAGTAATAGGAATACAGTAACAAAAATATTTAGCTACCACCCTGAATATGTCAAATGCTCCTGCATCTGATCACTTTTGAACAGATTTAGTTACGATTTCCATTTTTATATGAAAACAAGATTTTAAAGAAGAGTAGACTAAAATATGTAATATGTAATGTATTGGCCACTTACAAGAAAAATTTGAGGCAAAATGGGTGTTAATGATTTCAAGAAGATCCATTATAAACTTTCAAAATATTCCCCATTTCAAAGCTTTTTATTATCTCCCTTACCTCATGCCATGTTCTATATCTTACATTTTTTTCTTTAGGAAGTGGTTAGGGAAAGAGTTAATTAGTTAATTTTTTAAATACAACATGACTCTTTAGAAACTTTTTAAAAATAAATTGTGAGCCCAAGTGTTGAATTCCCTGGGGTATTACTGAATATCTTTGCTCCTTTGATTACTCATTGTTCTCTTATAAAATATGCATTTAAAAAGTACAATATACTTTACAGTGTACTATATTTATTTTTGTTGTGTTTTTAGATCAAACCCCCAGATCATCAACTCAATATCCAGAATCATTTTGGCAGTCATCACAAAGTAAGAGTAAAACCATGTCTTCAACTCTTAAAAGTCTACCTGTATGTGTGGTCAAATGTTGTTTTTATTTTTGAAGATCCCCTTTTCCAGTTTAACCTGAAGTGTTGAAAAAGAGGTCTAGTGAATGCTAAAAAACTCACCCAGCATCTTGAATTTGCTTCAGCTCTGTACTCAAGCTTGAATTTTATTTTAAAAAACAAGAATCTGCGTTCTTCAACTTGTTGAATGTCCTTGCTTCCCATATAAATTTGTTGACTGTTTTTAGTTTAATTTAACTAATGTAGTTTGAGCGTACTTATATGGACATATTCTAATAAGAATATAAAATTTTATATGTAGTGTGATTTGAGCTCTATTGCAAAAGTTTGGAAGGTTGAATGAGTAACAAACCAAGGTATAGTAAAAAGTTAATAATAAGGTAGGTGGTAGGTATATAAAAATCTTAGAAGCTCGCTTACAATCTTGAAAATTTTCACAATGTGTTGAGCAATTTTAACAAAAGAAAAGATTGGAAAGTAATATACTAAAATGCTACTAACGATTTGTTCAGGATGGTAGAATAACTGGTGACATTTTTCTTTTCCTTTTCTTCTGTATTTTGCAGATTATCTACAGTGGATATGTATTTCTTAAGCAGAAATGATACTGTTTTCCATTTTTAAACCAAGTCCCAGAATTTGAGTTAGTTATTAATCAACCTAAAATATCCTTGTATATAAAATCTTCAAGGACTTTTTTTTCTTTCCACATCACCTTTTTTGAAATATGAGACTGTATTTATTTACTTATTTATTTATAAAGATTTTATTTCTTTATATGACAGAGAGAGAGAGACAGCACAAGCAGGGGGAGTGGCAGGCAGAGAGAGAGGGAAAAGCAGACTCCCCTGCTGAGCAGGGAGCCCGATTCAGGGCTCGATTCCAGGACCCTGGGATCATGACCTGAGCCAAAGGCAGACATTTAACTGACTAGCCACCCAGGCATCCCATGAGACTGTTTTTAAGGAGGAAGTCTTTAGAAATTTGCTTTGTAATCACTGTTTATAGAATTCCACTTTATTTCACTTTATATATATTTAGTTTTTAGAAGGTTCTGGGTTTGAAGTTAAAACTGCAATAAAACAAAACCCACCCACTAAGACACAAAAATAAATCATTTGTGGAAAATTACTTGCTAAATCATCTTATGTCTTTGTCTTTGTTATTCTACATCTTTGATTTTTGGAAGCTCTTAAAAGTATCTCCCTATATAAATTATGCTACATGCATATAGTGGAATACTTTTTAATTATGAAAAATTAGTACTTTGTATACTAATGAATAGGTGATGAAGATATATATCCTTAAATCTAAGATGCCATTATTTTATGTGTCACTGAGAAAGATAAACCATCCAGTTAAACTATGACTTATCCTTGATTATAAGATACAGACCTAGGTCAGAGGTGTTTTTTAAAAAGTATTTCTTGGGGTGCCTGGGTGGCTCAGTTGGTTAAGGGTCCGATGTTGGTTTCAGCTCAGGTCATGATCTCAGGGTTGTGGGATTGAGCCCCGTGTTGGGCTCTGCACTCAGCACAGAGTTTGTTTGAGATTCTTTCCCTCTCCCTCTCCCCCTCCTTCCCCTTCTGCCCTACCCCCTCCCACGCCGCTCCCTCCCTGCCCCCTCACATGTACACATGCTCTCAAATAAATAAATAAATCTTAAAAAAAAAAGTACTTGTAGAGGTGCCTGGGAGGCTCAGTCGTTAAGTGTGCCTTCGGCTCAGGTCATGATCCCAGGGTCCTGGGATCGAGCCCCACATTGGGCTCCCTGCTCGGCGGGAAGCCTGCTTCTCCCTCTCCCACTCCTCCTGCTTGTGTTCCCTCTCTCACTGTGTCTCTCTCTGTCAAATAAATAAATAAAATCTTTAAAAAATAAAAATAAAGTACTTCTTTGTTTTTAATTTTTATTGTTATGTTAATCACCATACATTACATCATTAGTTCTTGATATAGTGTTCCATGATTCATTGTTTGTGCATAACACCCAGTGCTCCACGCAGAATGTGCCCTCTTTAATACCCATCACCAGGCTAACCCATCCCCCCACCCTCCTCCCCTCTAGAACCCTCAGTTTGTTTTTCAGAGTCCATCGTCTCTAATGGTTCGTCTCCCCCTCCAACTTACTCCCCTTCATTCTTCCTCTCCTGCTATCTTCTTTTTCTTTCTTCTTAACATATGTTGCATTATTTGTTTCAGAAGTACAGATCTGTGATTCAACAGTCTTGCACAATTCACAGCACTCACCATAGCACATACCCTCCCCAGTGTCTATCACCCAGCCACCCCATCCCTCCCACCCCCCACCACTCCGGCAACCCTCAGTTTGTTTCCTGAGATTAAGAATTCCTCATATCAGTGAGGTCATATGATACATATCTTTCTCTGATTGACTTATTTCACTCAGCATAACACCCTCCAGTTCTATCCACGTCCTTGCAGATGGCAAGGTCTCATTCCTTTTGATGGCTGCATAATATTCCATTGTGTATATTTACCACCTCTTCTTTATCCATTCATCTGTCGATGGACATCTTGGCTCTTTCCACAGTTTGGCTATTGTGGACATTGCTGCTATAAACATTGGGGTGCACGTACCCCTTCGGATCCCTACATTTGTATCTTTGGGGTAAATACCCAGTAGTGCAATTCCTGGATCATATGGTAGCTCTATTTTCAACTGTTTGAGGAACCTCCTTACTGTTTTCCAGAGGGATTGCACCAGCTTGCATTCCCACCAACAGTGTAGGAGGGTTCCCCTTTCTCCACATCCCTGCCAACATCTGTCGTTTCCTGACTTGTTAATTAAAAAAAGTACTTCTTAAAATCAATGATGAAAGACATTTTAAAAAGCATGTGTCTATTTTTTTAAGTATTTTGTTGGTATAGACTGAAAACAAATCTAAAAGAATATTCATAAGTCTAATTCACCATGGTATTCCTGCACATAGTAGGCACTTAATAAATATTTATGAATTTTTAAGTTACACATTTCTAGAATGTTTTATTTCTTTTACAGCTAGCATATATTGCATTTGTATACAGAAAAAAATTGAAAAATTTACAGTGACACTTGTAGCAATGGGTAGAAATAACTCATTTCTTTAGGGCAGATTTGGAAATTTACTTTGTTATAATTGTTTGAAATATCATTTCTAATCGTCCCATTATATCATTTTACAGTTGTTAGATACCATCCCAAAACAAAAAATAGCATCTTTCTCTTCATAACTACTTTGTAATGCTCACATTGCTAACATACTATATATTAACATATATGGACTGCCTGGGTTTATATCTCAGCCCTACTACCTCTAGATATGTAATCTTGGGGAAATGATCAGTTTCAGTTTCAGTGTCCTGATTTGTAAATAGGGATAATGGTATATCAACCACATAAAGTTTGAGAATTAAGTAAAATTATACTTCATACCTGGTAAGCATTCAGTACATGCAGCCATTATTTTGATGGTATTGATCCTAAAGTTGACTTATTATTATCCAATTCTTGAATACTTTGGAAGTTTAGAAAAGGGAAAAAATGGATATATTGCATGTTTGGGACTGATGAAAGAAGGGTTTGATTTTTGTGCGGATTTTTTTGGTTTATAGTATCCATATTATACAAGTAGAATATCTATGGAGTATCTTCACTGTTCTTATTTCCAAGTATTGTATGACCTTATCTTTGTTTTGTGTTTTAGGTCGAGACTTCATAACTCTTGATAAGCAACCTTCTGTGCTAAGTAAGTGGTTGGTTGTCTGTTCTTTTATCAGTCAAGTAATTCTGACTTTGTCAAATTTGGATTTGAATAGGGTTTCAAGTTATTTTACCCTCTTTGCCTTTTAATCTCACCACACATTGGTACCAAATGTGTAATTATTCTGTGATGTGGAAATGTGTTTAGGACTATTTTACCTAAAGTAACTTACTTACAAGAATAAATGGTTGGGCGCCTGGGTGGCTCAGATGGTTGGATGTCTGCCTTCGGCTCAGGTTGTGATCCCGGGGTCCTGGGATCAAGGCCCGCGTCAGGCTCCTGGCTCAGCAGGGAGCCTGCTTCTCCCTCTGCCTCTCTCCCTGCTCATGCTCTCTCTCTTCTCTCTCTCTCTCTGTTATCTCTGTGTTTCAAGTGAATAAATAAAATCTTTAAAAAAAAAAAAGAATAAATGGTTAACTTTTTCTTCTTAATATTGAAATCAAGTTCAAGTATTATTGAGTTCAGTCATTCTCAGACCAGAACAAAGGACTTGTACATAGTTTTGTCTATTAGATGATTATATATTTATTTGCTGCCTATTTTGCTGTAAGTGGTTCATCCTTCATGGAATGATCCTTTAACATTATCTTTTACTTCTGAACCTGTTGCTTTTGTTGTTTTCCTCCCCAAATTTGTCTTGCCTTTCTGATAAATTTACCTTGTAAATTTGTATGGTATACATTTTCAAAGTATGTGAAATGATATTTTGATATATGTATTTGCTTCAGGCTCGGGATATCAAAAAAAACCTCAGGAATGGCTTGAACAAACCACAAGAATAAGGGCTAGGATGCAAAGTAAGTTGATAAATCTCTACCTATTGAAGTAATTTTAAGTTTATTTGCTGTTTTTCTTTATTGTTCAACATACAAAAATATTTAGTTCTTCAGATAGGCATTTAGACTGTAATTTCATTAATAAAGAACAGCTATGATTACTAGTTATTTCCATCTGCTTGGAGGAGCAGGAGATGGTCTGGATGTAAAGTGTAAATAGTGGTGTGAGAAAACCTGCGGATGATGGGTCTAGACTTAAAAAATTGTCAGCTCTATCTAGCAGCAGTCCAGTCTGTACATGATCATGAAATTCTACTCTCTTGACAGCACCTGTTTTTTATTTGTAGCGGACTTTGTTTACTTTTATTTAAATAACCACTTAGAGCAACTCTGCCTGCCCATTATATGAAGTAATAAAGGTTGAAACCTTCAAGTAGTATATTCATGTTTAGGTTTAGGGTGGATTAAATGTCACAGAATTTGAGAAATACCATAGATAGATGTGATGAAATAATCATGCTTTGAATTCAGTGTCTGTCATAATTTCTGTAGTTGTGTCCACATTAAATCTTGACTATGCTAAAAAAAATACTAACTCACCCTTAATCTTTTATCCCTTCTTTATTCATCTAACCACAATAAATCTCAAAGTCATTAGGTACTCCCTTACTTTTATTTAGATAATATAAAAATCCCCATCACATATCTCTTGCTCAAGAAATGACATACTGTAGGGGCGCTCCTGGCTGGCTCAGTCGGTGGAGTGTGTGACTCTTGATATCGGGGTTGTGAGATAAAGCCCCATGTTGGATGTAGAGATTAGTTAAAAATAAAATCTTAACAAAAAAAGAAAAGAAAAGGAAATGACGAACTGTAATAGGACAAAATTACCTTGTGGTAAACGAACCTCTGGCTTTGTTTTTCCATGGTCACAGTTCATTCTTTCCCACCAGTCAAGTTTTATCCCACATGTGAGTTCTTCAGCTGTCTAAAACTGAAATAACATTCTGTCCTTGCTTTATTGTTGACTGTCATTCCTTATTATTGTATGTGCCTTGCTATTAGAAAACCATTTCTTCTTGCAGTTTGCTCTTTCTGACCTATTATAATTAGGAAGGCAAATATTCATTATTTAGCTTACTAGGGTTATGTTTATAGCAAGTATCAAAAATTAAAACCTGTGGGGCACCTAAGTGGCTTGTTAAGGGTCTGACTGTTTGGCTCAGGTCATGATCTCAGGGTTATGAGATCAAGCCCCACATCAGGCTCCATGCTGGGTATGGAGCCTGCTTCTCTCTCTCCCTCCGCTCCTCCCCGCCCCCTCTCTCTCCCTCCCTCTCTCTCTTTCTCTAAAAAAAAAAAAAAAAAATTAAAACTTACTTTATAGATCTGAGATATATACTCTTAGAAGTAAAAATGGATGAGTTTAAGTATATACACTATGTAAATCTCTGGGACTTGTTATGCTGTTTCTTGACTCTTAACTATATATTCTGGGTAATTTATAGCAGATACATTTCTCCCAAGTAAGTGAAGTGTAGTACACATCGTTACCAAAAAATGTTTGTATAATTTTTATTCCCTCTGATAAGACACTGTGCAAATGCAATGCAGAAGGGAAAATAATTACATTAAAGATCTGATTGGAATGTAGAAATAGATCTTTTTAGTTGCTAAATTGATAGCTAAGTCTTAGTACTTTATCTTTTTGCATCCCTACTTTGTCTTAACTTAGTGCACTTATTATGGCTTAAACAATGGGTATACTGATTAATAGCCATCTACCATATATAGTTTTGAGAGTCATATAGAAATTATATACCAGAAGTTTGTGCAGTAAGGTGCAGATAACAGAACTTTTTAGACCTTTAACCACATGAGGACTTTAAGATAAGAACAGTGAACATGAAGAAAATATTTTCAATAAAAGTGGAAGACTGCAGTGATTGTCATACAGCCTTACAGATTCCTTTTCAATCCAAGACCATTTAAAAAAATTGGTTGCTTAGCATTCTGAATTTCATATTTCATTAAGTTTACATTTCTGCCTGCTTTAGTGAGAAAAAATTAATATTTAGATTTAGGTGTTCAAGAACGTGGAATTTTAGATCCTTATTGTTATCCCGTGTTAGCACCAGTTTCCTGGGTAGACAGGTCCCAGTTTGGGTTTCTGCCTGTGTTCTAACCTTTAGGGGAAGATGGTACCACTGTCTTTATTTTTCCTGTTTCCCAGGTGATAAAACAGTGAGACTAGGGAAGAGTTTCTATGGAGAGGTCAGACTTCTGAGTCAGTGCTTCATCAATATATGTGCTTTGGAACCTATCTCTAAAAGTAGTGCAGAGACACGAAAAAGAGTTTGGAGTTAGAGCTCCAGTCCCAACCTCTTCTACTTAGTAATTGAGTGATCTTGGTACAGCTACTTAACCTTTGTGAACCTCAATTTTCTTACCTTTAAAGTAGAGACAAGAGTGCCTATAATTAAGTTATTCTAATTAGTTTAAGTCTAAATAACAAATGAAAAATTACTAGTGTTTATTGTTAACAATATATTGTGTAATAATCAATAATAACTACTCTGAAAGATTCATGCCCTCTGCTCTTGACTTTTATAGAGTGATTGATTGTTATCATAGTCTTCAAACTGGAAAATCTTGAGTTTTATCTTTTGTTTGTGTTTTTAAGGAATTTCTGTCTCTATTTCTAATAATATTTTTAATAAGAGGGATAGAGATTATCTTAGAGAATGCTCTGCCTGAGCAGTAGATACCTTGCTAAGTTTGTGTTTTGTGAATTTTATAAATACTACATGTTATATAATAACTTATTTAGCTATCCTTCCTCATTAAAATCATCATAGAAGAGCACTTAACAGAATTTTTATATATTATCTCATTTGAACTTTGCAACCGTAGAGTAAAATATTCAAGATAAACATTATCTTGATGGATTTTTTTTTCTAAGACAATTGTATTATGTTTCACATGCTCTTTCACTGCAGGCTCCTCTACTTGCCATCCTCATATAATAACTTTTTTAGTCATTTTATCAAAGTATGGTTGGCATGCATTTAATGTATACAACTCAATGTGCTTGGAGATAAGTATACATCTGGGAAACATGACTATCTGGGAAACTATGCCATAAGCATATCACCTCCAAAAATTTCCTCCCACCCTCTTCATTTATTATTATGTGTGTGTATGATAAGAGCACTTAACATAAGATCTTCCCTCTTGGCAAATTTTTAAATATACAGTACAGTATTGTTAACTCTAGGTACTATGCTTTACAGTAGATTTCTAGGACTTACTCATCTTCTATAACCGAAACTTTGTACCCTTTAATACCTCCTCATTTACCCTTCCCCGCCCCCAGCAACCACCTTTCTACTCTCCGCTTCTGTGAATTTGACTATTTTAGATTCCTCATAAAATGAATTGTCTGTCAGAACTACAACTCTATTGTCTTACGTGATGCAAAACATTGTAGATTTTATATGTATTATTGACAGCAACCATTAAAAATGAGAAGATAATATGAAAAAGAAATTTGTATTTATTTACAGGTATAATGATTCATAAATTGACAATGAAGAAGCGGCATTATGGTTGTTTTATGGTAGCCTAGTATAATTGATTGCTTCATAGTAGCTTAACCTATACACTAATAAATAGATCATTATAAAATTTCTATAGCATACAGTATTACAGTCATATTCATAATACAGTATTGGAAACATTGTTACTTAAAAAAAATTTTTTACCTGTGAAGATAGGCCAATAGGCAGTTTCTCCAGTTACTAGAGAGAGCGGTATACAGTATCCTATTTCCCTGAAAGCAAAGTAATGAAACAGTAAGAAAACTGACATTATTAATTTTATATTAAGTATCACTCATCTCATGCCTATGTAAGGGTAGGCTATCCTCTTCCATACAAGTCTTGTACACAGTGTTCTACACAGTGAGGACTTAGGAGAAGATGATGACACAAAAACATCTACAGTTCTTGCCGTACAGTTAATTAGATTTTCACACAGACACTCATACACATCCAGCAGATAAGCTCATTAACTGTACAGCATGATGGTTATTTACTGTTCATTAGGTGGAAGTGCATCATCATAAAGGTCTTCAACCTCATCTTCTTTGTATTGAGTAGGCTGAGGAGGAAGATGGAGGGTTGGTCTTGCTGTCTTAAGGGTCGCAGAGGCTGAAAAGGTGGAGAATGTGGAAGGGGAGGCAGGCACATTCCAAAATACGTAATTTCTGTCTGACTTTGTTGCCTTCTCATGTCTCGAAAAATGTGTCTATATGGTACCAACTTTCTTCCACCATTTCCTTTAGTTTCAGTGCCTCTATCATAAAAGGGTCCATGTCGTAAAAGAAGTAGAAGGCAATCTTGAATAATTGGAACCCTTCTGCCAAATTGTCTAATGTCGATTTGTTTTCTGGCACTTCTTCTAGGTCTTCTGCCTTCTTCCTCAGTGTGGGAGCACTCATCTCTATCAAGTCATGGTCTTTTAATTCCTCTGCTGTGTCTATTTGCTCTTAAGTTTCTCTAAGATTCGTTATCTTTTTTTTTTAATTCCAGTATAATTAACATACAGTGTGATATTAGTTTCACATGTACAGTATAGTGACTCAGCAGTTACTCAGAGCTTATCACAGTAAGTGTGCTCTTAATCCCCTTCACCTATTTCACCCATACCCCCACCAACCTCCCCTTTGGTAACCATCAGTTTGTTCTCTGTATTTAAGAGTCTGGTTTTTTTGTGTGTCCTTTTTTCTTTGTTTGCTTTCTTTGTTAAATTCCACATATGAGTGAAGTCATATGGTACTTGTCTTTCTCCGACTGACTTATTTATTTCACTTAGCATTGCACCCTCTAGATTCATCCATGTTGTGCAGATGGCAAGATTTCATTCTTTTACACACAAACACACACACACACATATATACCACATCTTCTTTATCCATTCATCTATCAATGGACACTTAGATTGCTTCCATAATTTGGCTATTGTAAATAACGCTGCAGTAAACATAGCGGTACGTGTATCTTTTCAAATTTGTGTTTTCATATTCTTTGAGTAAATACCCAATAGTGGAATTACTGGATCATAGGGTAGTTCTATTTTTAATTTTTGGAGGAACCTTCATACTGTTTTCCACAGTGGCTGCATCAGTTTGCATTCCTACCATCAGTTCAGTGAGGATTATTTTTCTCCACATCTGTGCCAACACTTGCTTCTTGTGTTTTTTATTTTCACCATTCTGACAGGTGTGAGGTAATACCTCATTGTGGTTTTGCTTTGCATTTTCTTAATGATGAATGATACTGAGCATCTTTTCATGTGTCTGTTTACCATCTGTGTGTCTTCTTTATAGAAATATCTAGTTCATGTCTCCCATTTTTAGTTGGATTATTTGTTTTTGTGTGTGTTGAGTTGTAGAAGTTCTTTCTCTGTTTTGGATACTAATCCTTTATCAAATATGTCATTTACAAATATTTTCCCTTATTCTGTAGGTTGATGATTTCCTTTGCTGTGCAGAAGCTTTTTATTTTGGTGGAGTCCCAATAATTTATTTTTGCTTTTGTTTCCCTTGCCTCAGGAGACCTATCTAGAAAAAAATGTTGCTACGGCCAATGTCAGAGACGTTACTGCCTGTGCTCTTTCTTAGGATTTTTATGGTGTCAGCTCTTATATTTAGGTCCTTAATTCATTTTGAACTTATTTTTGTATATGGTATGAGAAAGTGGTCCAGTTTTATTCTTTTGCATGTAGCTGTCCAGTTTCCCCAACGCTGTTTGTTGAAGAGACTTTTTCCCGTTGCATATTCTTGCCTCCTTTCTCGAAGACTGACTATATAATCATGAGTTTATTTCTGGGCTATATGTGTGTTTTTGTGTCAGTACCATACTGTTTTGATTACTACAGCTTTTTAGTATATCTTGAAATCTAAGATCCATATCTTGAAACCCTTCACCCCCTACCTTTTTTGCCATAATCATGATCTCTTTCATGATTTCTTTGATTGGCTGTTTTGTAAATCCTGTGAGGTCATACACATCTGGACACAGTTTTCTCCAGGAATTTATTGTTTTGGGTTTGATGGCTCTTTCTGTAACAACTATGGCATGTATATACTACTGTTAATTTTATGCAGTTATTATTTAATAGTGCATCTTTATGTTTGTTTACGTTTCTTTCAGCTGCGAATGGCACCATGTTCAGTCTGTATGCGTAAATTCTGATAAATTTTAACTTTTTGTAGTTTGTGTATATTTTATGGTAGCAAATGATAAAATAGTATCTATATATATTTTATGCATTCATGAAATCCCTAACTTTTTCTTAATGTTTTAAAATATTTCTAGGCTATGCAATTCGACTATGAGGTTTTTCAAATTGTTGCAAATCTTAAAAAATTTTCCAATGTATTTATTTTTAAAAATCCACATATAGGGGCGCCTGGGTTGCTCAGTCAGTTAAGCGTCGCCTTGGGCTCAGGTCATGATCCCAGGGTCCTGGGATCGAGCTCCACATTGGGCTCCCTACTCAGCAGGGAGCCTGCTTCTCCCTCTCCTCCCTGCTTGTGCTCTCTGTTGCTGTCTCTCTCTTTCAAATAAATCAATAAAATCTTAAAAAAAAAAAAATCCACATGTAAGTGGACCTTCACAGTTCAAACCTATATTTTTCAAGGATTAACTGTATATGCCACATTTTTTTATCCATTCGTCCATCACCAGACATTTAGGTTGCTTCCATGTCTTGGCTATTGTGAATATTACTGCAGTGAACATGGGCACACGGATATCTCTTCAAGATCCTAATTTCATTTCCTTTGGGTATATATCCAAAAGTGGGATTGCTGGATCATATGGTAGTTTCATTCTTCAGTTTCTGAGGAGCCTCCATACTCTTTTCCATAGTGGCTATCACAGTTTAAATTCCTCCCTACAGTGTACAGGGGTTCCCTTTTCTCTATATCCTCTGTACATAACTTGCTCTTGTTTTTTGGATAATAGCCATCTTAACAGGTGTGAGGTGAATCTTACTATGATTTTGATCATGTAGCTCATCATGTTTTTTAAGTGTGCTGTAATCCCATGGTCTGTTTTTGCTTTTGTTGCCTGTGTTTTTGGTGTCATATACGAGAAATCATTGCCAAGACCAGTATCAGGAAGCTTTTTCCCTGTGTTTTCATCTGGGAGTTTTATCGTTTGGGTTTTCTTTTTTGTTTGTTTGTTTTGTTTTATTTATTTAAGCAATCTCCACACCCAGCATGGGGCTCGAACTCATGACCCCAAAATCAATTGTCACACGCTCCTCAACTGAGCCATCAAGGCACCCCCTATACTTTTGGTTCTTATGCTTAAGTCTTTAATCCATTTTGATTTTTTGTATATGGTATGAGTCCAATTTCATTCTTTTGCTTGTGGATATCCAGTTTTCCCAGCACCATTTATTCAGGATACTGTCCTTTCCCCATTGTTTTTTCTTGGTACCCTTGTTAGGGATCAGCTGACCATATCTGCATGGATTTATTTCTGAACTCTCTTCTCTTCCGTTGGTCTCTATGTCTGTTTTTATGCCAGTACCATACTGTTTTGATTACTCTAGCTTTATAAAGTATTTTGAAGTCAGTAAGTGTGATGCCTCCAGCTTTGTTCTTCTTATTCAAAATTTCTTTGACTGTTTGGAATCTTATGGAATCTGTGTTTCCATACACATTTTAGGATTGTTTTCTATTTCTGGAGTTTTGCCATTGGAGTTTTGATCGGGATTGTACTGAATCTGTAGATGGCTTTGGGTAGTATAGACATTATAAGAATATTAATTCTCCAATCCACAAACGCGGGTATCTTTCCATTTAGTTGTGTCTGCTTTAATTTTTTATTGGTGTTTTATAGTTTTCAGTGTACAAGTCTTTCACCTCCTTGGTTAAGTTTATTCCTAAATATCTTATTCTTTTTGATACTATTGTAAATGGGATTATTTTCTTAATTTAATTTTAAAATTTAAAATGTTTTCTGAGTTATGTAAATATTACATTTGTTACATAATAACTATAACTAATGTTACATGATAAGTATAGTATGTATTATAGTTATATATTGTAGTTAGGTGTTACATAAAAAATTACCTCATTTGATCTTTTTATATAATAATTACTGTATTATGGTTTTATATTATTTTAGATATGTATTATTATAATATCATATATTATTTCATTTGATCTTTGCACCATAGAATAAAGTATTCAAGATAAACATCACTTGATGGAATTTGTTTGTTTTAGTAATATACTTGTTAACTTTGGTGACCTAACTTAGAAGTTTCTAAATAATGTAATTTCTTAGGCTAAACCAGTAATTGTAAAACAGTATGCCTTTAGAATGAAGGTTGATGTCATTTTGTTTCATTTGAGGTTTTTTTTTTATCATATGACCAAAAATAAGACTATTTTTATATCTTAGCAGTGCTAATTTTACACCTCTAGTTTAGTCCAGTGTTTCTCAAATGAAAGCTCTTGCTAAACACCAGGAAGGTCATTTATAGATACATAAGTTATAAAACTCCAGGCAAATAATACATGACAGTATTGGTAAAAGTAGGTCATACGAATTAGTAATTCAGCCTCTCCACCTTCTGAACCCTGTCCTTCAATTTCTTCTTTCTTTTATGTTAAAATCTGTGGTCATGCCAAGAAGGATGGAGGGGAAAAGTAAAGAGTTAGGATAGTTTTTGTTTGCTAGAATAATGATAGAAATAGAGATTTGGTGGAGTCATGAGAGAAAATTATTTTTGAAATCTGTGGTTTAACCACAAACCTAAATAAAACAGAATTGTCTATTAATAGAAATGGTGAAGAGTTTTTAATATAATTAAAAAAATATTACTGATATTTGAAATGATCAGAGGCACCAGAATAAATATTTGTATCAGTCTGAGGTAGAGAATAGGATTAACATTGCATTTTGCCTTAAAACCCCTTATCCAGGTAGCTCAGTAATCCATAATCCATATTTTGTCCTTTTTTCCCTCTTACAGCATCATCACCAAGCAAGAGTTCAATATATGGCAGTTTTTCCGATGGTATAACATGTTTTCTTTTCTTTTAGTTGTGCTTATTTTCTTCTCTTAACTTTGTGCCGTAAGTTTCACTAGTTCCATCAAATAATTTGGGTCAAATACTTTAAGGCTTTCTCACAAAACAAATGTATTAAGAGTATGCTTTATACTAGACCCCATGGCATGCTGTGAGTAATTATGAAAGAAATAACTCTTTAAGTCTCAAAGAGCTGTCAGTCTAATGGGCACTTAGATCTTCTCCTTTTTCTTCTATTTCTGGCTGATTTCTGCCTTATATTCTCTTGGTGGAATTTGTGTTTTCTTTCTCTGTTGGAAATACTTAAATTATGAACCATAAATTGATAGTCTTTATTACTCCTATCATTAGATGACAGCAGTCAGAAATCAGAGCTTGGAAACTGGTCTCCATCAACCTCCAGCCAACGTAAGTTTGCCTATTCAGTTTTTATTAAGTGAGTTTCTAAAATTGGTCATTCATAATTGTTTTAAATTTTTTTGACTGCAAATAAACAATGCTATTTGAAAAATTGTATTTTAAGCACTTAAGAGGAAAAAGTATATATTTTACTAGCAGTGAAATTCTTTAAGGACAAACTGTATGAAACAACATCTGGTTTTCCCCTTCACTTAATTAGCCATACGACCAAAAGTAAAAGTTAATAAGCAGAACTACTAATACCAATAACCAGGTGAACCTTGCTGAGTCAAAAGAAAGATGGCACATTGCATGATGTAATGTTTACCATGGGTTTTAGAGTCCACAGACCTGTATTTGGATTAGATTGGACCACTTAACCTTCTGTTACAGCCTTGCAGCAAGCTTCTTTAATTCTCTAAGCCTATTTATTATCCCGAATGAGTACTAAGAAAATAACTTCACAGTGACTCTCACTTTGGTCTCAATACCACTTTCTACTAGCAAAATTAGTACCTAAAAGAGCTTTTTTTTTTTTGTATGGGCTATACCTATCCATGTTTACCTAGAAATTAAAATTGAAACATTTTAAAAATACCTATTTATTTTTAAAAAATTTAGTAAGAATAGTGACAAATTGCTTGTATTTTCTAATCTCTTTAATGTCTGGCTTAATAAAATAGAGCTGGATTCTCATATCTGCTTCTGTATTCAATCTGTTACAATATATTTTGGTTGTAGTGTATACAAAAATCCAGCTTTATACAGATAATACAGATTTTTTAATAGTCTAAAGATAATTTTGGATATTCTCTTTTGATACTATCCAAAACTCAACAAGTTACTTAAAATGTGAGATCTGAAACCAAATTAATGAACTTTTTGTGTTCTATTACATTAAAATCCATTGGTCTTTCTTGTACTTTGAATGGAATATCATGCACTGATCATTTGGAAAATAAAGGTTCACTAAGTTCTGTAATCTTCCAAATTTTGACACATTCTAATACAGTATAAAAAGATCACATTTGTTAAAATCACCACCAATCTCATTGACACATTCTAATACAGTATAAAAAGACCACATTTGTTAATATCACCACCAATCTCTCTAAAAGTCTTTAAGGATTTAGGAGCTGTCAAGCTTATAGTGGCAGATACAGTATTTCCACAATCCTAATTTTCACTTTAAACCGTGAATTTTATAATTGACAACAAATATTGTCAGTTGTTTTCCTAGAAACAACAGACTCACTTTGTTCATTTTCAAGAAAATGTCTGCCAAATACTCAAGTCTGACTAACCATAGTTTGTCACTTGTTCTTAAAAGTACTAGTTCAGCTCAACTGAGTTGCACAAAATTCCTTTCCTTGAGAAAACTGTACTGTGCTATAGGTATCAGAAGTGCTTTATGTATACTTCCCAGTTCTTCATATACTCTATTGAGATTTGTACTCAAGGGTTGAATTTTAATAAGATGAATAATTTTAACTGCTTTATGGAACAGTTTCACTGATAGCCTTAAATGCATGGCTGTGAATACAAAGACTACATTAGCACTGCCCTGTGGTCCATGCTAAGGTATCATTTGTTTTTCCCACCATGGCTTTGCACCATCAATGCAAATGTCAACATGCTGGGGAAAGTCAGATAACATCCTGGTGTTAAGAGACTAGCTTTAACCTCAAAGACCCTCTTGGAAGGATCCTGAGGTACCCAGCAATTACACTTTGAGAACTATTGCTCTAAAAGGTCCATAGTACAAATAAAATGGAAGGTGTAAATGTATTGTTGCTATCCTATTAAATGAAGTGGTATGTGACAATGTGCTTAAAAACTGAAAAGCACTAGATAAATGTAAATTGGTATCATTATTGCCAATAATAATTAGGGATGAAATGCATACTCAATTTTACTGGTATTAACTTGCATTCCACAAAAGGTGGGCATCAGTGCAATTAAAGGGACAGCTAGCTATTATAATATATGGAAGATGTTCAACTTACAGTGCATCCTTTTTCAATCCTTTTACATACTTCAGAAACATTCCACCCTGGATAATAAGCTGTATGAATTCTGGGTATCTAAATTTAAAAATATTTTATCAAGTGACTTTTATTATTGTTTGCTTCCCAAATATTAGCAGTAGTAATAATAGTTTTGCTTTATAAATTATATTATTTCTGACTTGCTTATGCCACTTCATATCTTTGAATTCTATTTTTTCCTCTAAGGCTTTTTATCATTTTGACATTGAAGAGACACATGCATACTTATAATACACCTAAAACCTATGGGTGTGAGATTTTCTTAAATACATGTGATGAACATTTCTTTAAGAAAGTAAATTACCAGCTCCATTCTTTAAATTCCTTCCTCTTTTATTTAATGTTTGTGAAGATTAGTACTGATTTTAAAAGTCACTTGTTCTTGAATCCAAGAAAATGGTATTTGAATCTGTTTTGTTTTTTTTTTTCTGTCCTGAGCAGAAGTGACTGGACAACCTAAAAAACCCAAAAGTGCATCTTTTATCAAGATGTGGTGGTGTCTACCTGTTTGTATAGTTTTTTTGGCCGTTTGGAGTTTTTTGTTCCCTTGTAGTCCTGAAGTAGAAACCACTGCTGTTCAAGAGTTCCAGAACCAGATGAGACAACTAATGACTAAGTATCAAGGTCAAGATGAGAAGCTGTGGAAAAGGAGTCTTACATTCCTGGAAAAACATCTTAATAGCTCCCAACCTCGGCCTCAGCCTGCTATCTTGCTGCTCGCCGCTGCTCGGGATGCTGAAGAAGTGCTCAGGTGTCTGAGCGAACAAATTGCTGATGCCTACTCTTCTTTCCGGAGTGTCCGTGCCATCCGGATTGATGGGGCAGGCAAAGCTACTCAAGACAGCGATATTGTCAAACAAGAGGTAGATTGGGAACTGAGCAATGGATTCAAGAATGGCCAGAATGCTGCTGTGGTACACCGCTTTGAGTCCCTGCCTGCAGGCTCTACTTTGATCTTCTATAAATATTGTGACCATGAAAATGCAGCCTTCAAAGATGTAGCCTTAGTCCTGACTGTCTTGTTGGAGGAAGAGACACTGGGAACCAGTCTAGGCCTAAAGGAAATTGAAGAAAAAGTGAGAGATTTCCTCAAAGTCAAGTTCACCAACTCTGACACACCCAACTCCAGCAAACATATGGACCCAGACAAATTGAGTGGGCTCTGGAGCCGTATTTCTCACTTGGTCCTGCCTGTCCAACCTGAAAATGCCCTGAAAAGTGGCATCTGCTTATAAGGGGTGACAGACGACAAAAATCATGTCTCAAGTTCTGAGAATTTTTCAGACTTTCTAGCCAGAGATGGGATTCAGAGCTCTTTTTGAAAGAACTGGTTTCTTTTTAAAGGAAATTAAGTTCTTATGTAAACATAGAACATCTAAATCATATATTCAACCTAAGTATCTGTTACTTGAGAGAATCATTTCCCTGTTTCCACTGAGATCTGTGTTAATGATCTCTGAGGACTATAAATTACATGCAAGTCCCATAGAGGATCTCTAGATTCGGGGTTGAAACATTATTGCTATGGTATGACCAGACCAGGTTGGGGGGGATTGGGCTCCTTCCTATGAATCCTCTCAATTTTTTAAGTTAGATTTTTCACAGAGTTTGCTATTAGTAAGGCAGCTCTCTAAATGCAACTGTGGGTTTTCCCGTTTTGTTCTTTTACATCATTTAGGTGCAAGTTCCTTAGTCAGCTTCCCCTCATAGGAATAAGAGTAATGAAAGGTCACCTGAGTATGTGTATGGATTGTTTTTTTCTTTGTTTTTGGAGGGCAGGAGAAGGGGGCTAGGGAAAAGAGAAATTGTGGAATAAGGAAGGAAAGGGGGGAAAAAATCTTCAAGATGAAATTTAAAATAAGCCACTGAGACTTAGGTCACTCAGGCATAGCCATATAAACTCCATTCTCAGTGAATTCTGTTGGGGTTTGTTTTTCACATGTCCTTTTTCTCCTTTAGGAAATTTTTGGTCCTCCCAAGGATTTTGAAGCATGTATATTATAAGGTTTAGCATATTTGTTCATTTGACTCTGAAGGGTGTGGTCAATTCAGAGCATTTTATTTTGGACATATCCTGAAGCCTTTGTTTTGAATTCAGAAAATACAGTTGCAGGAATTGTTAAACCATCAGTCAGCCAGGACTGTCTGTACTGGACTGTCGAAGAAGGATTTGATTTTCTGTGTGCAGTCCTAAGTCCTTTAATGTCACTCTTACAACAAATGTAAAGATTTACTATGCATGTGATAAATTTTATTAAGAGTGCCTCAAGCCAAAAGGAAATGAACTTGACCATATGTGAAGAATGTTGAAATGTACTATTGTGCATTCCTGTACTACTGTTGCATTTCAAGTGTCACTTTGCTTCTGTAACTGAGCTTTCTCAAAATCTGTCGCCTCCGTTGTTTTTCTCAAAATCTTAAGATTCCGGATCTACCATGTTTTGTTTTGTTTTTAAGTGAAAATACTGTTTTTAGAATACTAGAGGCAGTCAGTGGCTTTATCATTTACCTTTTGAGGATCCCATGCCTCGTAGTGGAATGTGGTCTGGTTTCTTCCAACTAGGACAACCACTATTCATAAATTTATACCCTTTATTGAAATTTGCTCCTGACTGTCACAAGTCAGGCCATCTGATTTATAGAGGATTCTAAAACAAGAGTTTTTGAAAAGGCTTATTTTATACACATATATTATATGGAGAAACAAATGTTTTTATTAAATGTTTCGCTGACCAAAATAATTTTAAAGAAATTAATGTTACTTATATCTTTCAAGAAAAAATAATTGTAGTAGCTGATCTGTAAATGACTTTAGAAGCTATTTTAGTAATTTAAATAAATTTACTTTCTTGATTTGTACTCTGTGTTGTAAACTTAATGATTCATAAACCTTTTTTTTTTCCAGTTAATCCTAGACTTTTCTTGAACAATTTTAGTAACTTCTGCTAAGAGAAACAAAGGCCAAAGAACTGGAGCCATTCACAAATACATTGTTTAAAAATATAATCACCATGATTTTCTGTTTCATGCTGGTATTTGAATTACCACTATATTGGAATTAACTTAGGTTTTCCTGACTTGGCAAAAGTATCTACAGCAGTGTTTCTCAAATTTTTCCTTCTCACCTTGCTAAAGAGCCTTTTTAGTTATTTTTTTTCCTAATTGTCTACCCCCTTGAAATTCTAATACCACACATATACTGTATATCTGTTTACGGACTATATTTTTGTCCTTTATACATAAGAGTAACATTTTTTGCCCTCCAAGAACCAGTATTTGTTGCCGCTGAGAATGCATGCTCAAGAACATCTATCTATATTTAATTTATGTATGTATATATGTATGTATGTATGTACATACTTTATCTATTCATTAAGTAGACTCCATGCCCAGCATGGAGCCCAATGTCAGGCTTGAACTCAGAACCCTGAGATCAAGACCTGAGCTGAGATTAAGAATTGGATGCTTAACCAACTGACCCACCCAGGCACCCTGAGAACATTGTATTTTTGATGCTGCCTAAAACATTCTGTTTTCTGTTTATGTTATTACCCGGAATAACATAGGGTGAAGGGAAAATTTAGTAAGTCATCAGCTTGAAAATAGGAGTTAGGGTTTCTAGAAATCAGGCACATTGTGAATTTGGGTGGCAACACTGGCCCAGGGAAAACCACAACACAGTACTGGTCTTACAGATTTCTAGAAACTTAATTTGCTTCTCTTCCTTTAATGACTTTCTTATATTATCTTTAGGGAAGTTTTCTAAACCTCCAATTCTCAAAACAAAGGTTGGAAGTAAACTTGATTTTCATTCTATGAAAAGAACTGTAACTTGTTTGCATAGTTCATGCCATTAGTTAATGCCTAAAGATACAAAATCCAGTTTCCCTTTGATCTTAGGTCTTCGGAAAGTGGCCTTTATGTTGGCAATGTAAGGAAGCATTTCTATTGAACAGATAATGGACTATTCTGCTATATTGTCTCTATCAAGGTCATAGAGTAAAATCTTACAGAGGATTCTACTGGCATTAGCCACCTGGAAAGAAGATGTGAGTCCTGAGTTGGAAAACAAGCCGAGAAGGTTGCCATCGACTAAAAGGAAACACCTGCCTTGAATATCTTTCTCTCTTTGGCCTAGGTTCAGAGAAGTCCTGGTTTGCTTGCAGGCAGGCTCTTGGGGATTGTAGGGAAGATAGCCTGTCACCTGAGCATCAATAGGCAGAAACCTCTCACCATTTACATATTGAACCCTTGTCTTTTGCCCATTCTTAGACACGTCTGGAATATTTCCTCCTTTCTTGCCCTCTCCCTTTCCCCAATTTTATGCTTTGCTAATTCTTATTTGTTTTTTCTTCAGGACTCAGTTTTTTAGGCAGAACTTCACTGAAACCTTCACTAGTCTCCTTCCCCCAAGACTGATTTAGGTGCCTCTTTTTTATGCTCTCATTCATCGTCTGTTACCCCTGACACAGCAGTTAGCTCACTCTGCACTACCATATGCCTCTTGAGAGCAAGAGACTGTCATCTATATATGCACAGTGGTAACCACAGACTGCTCAAATACTTGTTGAATAAAAACTGCACAGCCTATCTAGTTAGCTAAAATGGGTAAGTTGCGTCTTAGTACTTTACTTGCTTTTTCCTGTTATTCCTGAGCCTTTTTCTAAAGCTATATAACTACTTCAACCTCAATTCAGTAGTGCTATGAGTAATTTAAGGTAGAGGACTGATGCCATGGGACACTGGCACTTCCACTTCTTGTGGAAGCAAGGATTATTAGTGAGGGATCCCCAAGGGCAAGGTGAATGGTAAGAGACAAAACTGGGAGGCCATGAGGTCTTTATGCTGAGATTTGGAATTTGAGTTTTCTTTTAAAAAGCAAGTTTCCTTACATCTCATAATGCCTAAGAGGGTAGTATAGTCCAAATAAGAGATGGCAATAGGTGTGGAGAGAAGACGGATGAGAAAAAATATTTAGGTAGAAATGACAAGGTGTGGTTAATTGGATATTAGAAAAAATACCTCTTCATTCAATTTCGCCCCTGTATCTTCTCTCCCCCAAATACTGAGTACACAGTGGTAGACTAAACTCTTATCTCTGTATGTCTTTGTTGACTTTTAGCAGTTTGAAGTAGAGAGAGACATGTATTTAGTCAGGAATTGTTTGATTGTAAAATACCCTGTCTAACCAGAAGAGAGAAGGAGGGGTGGGGTGGGTGTTGCAAGAAAGCATTTCAGCCTCCGAGACCGGAGACTGGGATGGAGAGGACTGTTGATTGACAGATCAGCTGCCATTCCCTCTGCCTCTCCACTCCTGGCTTGTTTCACCTTAGTAACCTCGCCTTTGTGACTGAACCACGTCAAGAGGATGAATTTGATTGGCTCAATCCAGTGTATGGATGATCCCTGAAAAGAATATATAATGAAACAAAGATGCCTAGGTCACTCCTTTAACACGGACCATGGGGTGGGAATGAGGAATGGCATTCTCCTGAAGTCAGGCCAACAAGTGGGCAGGTAGGGTTAAGGGACAACTAAAAACATCTTCAAATTTATAAAGACCTTTATATGACATGATGCTGGTTATTTCATTCCATTTTCACTTTAAAAAATGAAATAAAATGATGGAAACACTATTAAAATTTTAAAATCTGGGTCTTGATCATGGCTCAGTCTAGAGAAATTTGGCCTAAGGAAGTCCTTGATGTGGTTCTGCTACAAATGTGTTCTGATTTCTTCCCGTTGCTTCTGCGTTTTTTATGCTGATAAAAGAGAACAGTTATCAAAACCGCAGGTACTATCTTAATATATAATGGCTGCTATTAATTTGTTATAAGTCCCTCAAAAGAACACTGAGCTTTCTTTAGTTTTCAAACTGTGTCTTGGGCAAGTGTAGTGGTAGGAGACTATGTACCTGATTCAAATTTGATTTTTTTAAGTTTGTCCCCCCCACCCCAATTTTAGAGAGTACCATTCTTAGGCTAAACTTGAGAATCTTCTCCATGTTATGCAGCTCCTTATAGAGAACGTTGACTCAGTAGTTATTCTTGATGGGCAGTTTTTAGAAAATCAATCTCTCATAGTTTAAGTGGACTTCCTCGCATTTTGTCTACCATATAAATGGAAAAGATCTACATAATGATCTTCATATTTGAATATGTATTAAGTTGCCTATCACCCTTTCCTATTTTTTGTCAGCTACTTACTACGTTTATTAAAGCTCCAAACACCGTTTCAAGTGCTTCACATGCATTAACAGGTTCAAGTCTCATGATAGCTCTGTGAGGTAGTACTGTTATCCCAATTTAATAGGAAGCTGAAACACAGAAAGGTAAAGTGACGCTCAAGAATACCCAAGGAAAAAGTGGTGAAGCAGAAATTTGAATTTAGGCAGTTTTGAATTTAGGCAGTCTGGCTTTAAAACATCTATTGTCAACCACTATGTACATAGTCTCTAGAACCCCTAAATACGGTATTTCCCCCAATCTATTCAGGTTCTGTACAGGTTGGAGTATTTTTCCATTTTGTAGGTTCTTATTTGTGGCTCTCCTTTAAACCTCTGTCTTCCTTTCCTCCTTGCCCAGCTTTGTGGAATCCAATATCGCACACACTAAGAGCCCGAAGAATTTTGAGAAGGGTGAGACAGTCATCACGCAGTCTTACATGTTGACTCATACTCCTGCTTCTGGAACTAAAGACCTGCAGTGTGGACTCACAGTTGAACTTTTTGAAATACCTATATGTAGCCTAGGTGTTCGCTGTCCCTACAGACCACACAGCCTCTGTTTGCCCTCTCTCAGTGTTGATGCAAAATGGCACCTCTTTGAATTGCTGAGAAAGAGTCTGTATCAGAAACATTGGTAATTGCACAGAAACAGAGGGGCAAGTTTGACCAAGAGCACATCCCCAACAGTCGAGTCTGGAGTCTGACTGCCTGAGTCCGAATCCCAACTCTACACCTTTCTCGCTCAACGACCTTGGCAAATTACTTAACTTCTCTCTGACTCAGCTTTCTCATCTCTAAAATGGGGAAAATAATGTAAATACTATCTTACAGTGTGGTTGTGAGGGTTGTCAGTTAGATCTATGCAGAGCACTTAGAAAGTGCTGAGGAGACCAAAGTGTACAATGTTAGCCATTTTTGTTCACTTAATTGTTACGATTAATTCTCCTCTCTTCTGTGTGACATCAACTGGCTGGCTTCTATTTCCACCTTCCTAAGCGACCCTTATTATGCAGAGTACTCGGCTTTTTCCTAGCCTCCACCTCCACTACAAACCCCAACCCTTCACAGTTCATTAAAGGTCTTCCGGTGAACCAGAATCCACCCTCTCTAAAAATCTGGGGAATTATAAAGAATGAGAAAGCTGTCACACATAGAGACCTCTTTCTCCCATCTTTCCATGGCTTGTTCAGCTTCACTATCCCACTTCCATCCTTAAAGACCTTACTTTTATTCAAGCGACTGTAATTGGCTGAGATTCTTTTCTAAGTGCAGCACAGAGTATCCTGTGTTGAACACAAAGATGTACCACCTAGAATCCCTTAAAGGAAGGCTGTGTTGCACCCAATGCTGGGAGTGCAGTCAGTAAACAGCCTTCACCATCAGCCACTTCGTGGATTATTTCAGCTGCAGGGGGTCATTTTGCTCAAGGTCATGCCAGGTTAGGGGGAGAGTGGTACGCATCCAATGACTGATAAAAAGAATATAAAGGCTCGAGCTTCTCAGCCCAACACAGTGCAATTTGGACAGACCATTTGCACTCCAAAGTTTTCCCATGGAGTTAGCTGAGGCTATAGGACCTGTATTATAATGTGACGTCCCCCTCAACCGCATCCTGCTTCCTCCGCCTCCTCTC